CATTTCGCACACACACACACACACACACACACACACACACACACACACACCAGGGGCACAGTAATGAGTGGTATCGTCATCATACAGAATTCGATCAATCCGGTTTCGGTTTGGTAACCAATAAATTACGGAATAGCAGAGTCAGGTTGATGGTAATTCGTACAATAAACATCCGGAACTGTAACAGAAATAACTGAAGCTAATTCATCCGGTTCCTTACGGAAAAAGTCACTAGATGGTTCGTCACCACAAGTTTTGCTTTCCTAAACCCAGGTCTCATTCTTTCTAACGATTTTGTAATTTCACTGAGATTTCATTCCTTGTATTACGTTATGCTTGATTTGTGACAACACCACGGGTGTGTATTTCGATGACTCGATGCCAAAATCTTCATCGCTGGAGTTCAAGGAGAGCTCTGCGGATATTATGACGTTGGTCANGGTGATTACTTTGAGTTTCAAACTGAGGCAAACCTTCCGAATGTTCGTATATGTCTAACCCTACCGGGGCTACATCATAATGAACTCAACCAATCAGTAGTTTAGCATGTAGCGGATGGTTATTTTATGCTCATAGCTTCGATGAAGTATGGCTCAAATTTTAAGTAAGTTTAAGTAGTGATGATTATATTCCATTTAACTTTCGAAATTTCTGTCACTGCAAACAGTAGTCCGACTGGGAGCCGGAATGTGCCGCAGTACACCTAGACTGGCGCCTGTTGCAATCTGAAACAATCGAAGCGGGCGCCGGAGATTCAGTGTGATAAATCGGTGTAGTTTGGATACCTGATATTGTGGACGGAAAACCACGTTTGCATGCGAATGCAATCTGGTACACATCGTCACGTATACACCGGAGCTCTCCACATATCCGTGTATACGTGTGATGCCTCCTCCTGCTCCCCCCCCCCTGCGGACGCTTTAGAACACTTGGCTCCGCGTTTGTGTACCACCCGTGGGTTAAACTAGTAAGTAACATAACCACGGGTTTCGTGGTCTATTATCACCAATGATCCGGTGCCTGTAGCATAGAGACAAATGACAGTCATGATTGTGGATCGATGCGCGCAGTCCGAGGGTAGAAAGTTTGATCTAATTCGGATTGATTTACCGTCCTAAATCTGTGCGACTCCTGAGACCCGAGATTGATAAATTCACTAGCGGCCTGATTGAATAGTACAAATGCGTTAAAATCTACGGAAAATCGAATATCAGTAACAACCTATGCCTCCTGCATCGAAGATATGGGAGGGCTAGTATAACAGTTCACAAACCGTGATGATGTCACTAAAATGCGTGACGAAACATCTGGCGTCAATTTTGAACTGCATCCCGCCCCTGAACAACGTCATGCTCGATGCCGTATTTTATTGGTTCTGTGTTTGTCATGTTTGTTAGTTAGTAAAGATTTACAAACAATGCACAGAATAAGTCTTTTGTCGGGTACTAATCCTTGCAGTCCGTCACTTGTTCACAGTGCGCACAGTTAGTGCGATTTGGCTGAGCTTATATGATTT